GGACCTGGATTTGGATAGTCTGCTAATGTCCCGTTCCACAACTTTTTCAAATGTTTTTATCATCATATTATCAGTGTTGGGGTAGAATTTGTTTTTAGGTTTGAACAAGGTTTCAGGCTTGGAATCTATCTTATTGCCAAAAAAGTGTTTTAATCGAATAGTTCTAAATAACTTAAAAAGTTCAACCCTGGTGTGGAAAGGACTGTATCTGGGAGTGGGAACAAAACTTAGTCCCTTATTAATTAACTCTTCCTCTTGTGGTGAGAGAGGGTAGTTAGAAAGATTTACCACTAGGGAGGAGCTTTTCTGTATGAACCCCTCTGAAAATGGTGAGTGGGTGGTTTAGATTTAATTCTATATGATCGTCGTGGTAGTATTGGACTAGTGGAAGTAGTGGAACTGTCCGTAGATTTCCCTGGGTCTTCTTCAGTGGTGGAATAAGGGTCTAGAGAATCTGTTTCAAAGCGAACCCTCCTTTTCACTGTACTAGAGGAAGTGGAATGGGTTTTCCAATTGTAGACCTTATTATTGTCATAATCAGCTCTGTCTCTATTAAACTTTTTGATTTTAAATTCCTTAATTTGTGAGTAAAGGTCTTTACATTTCTTATCAATTTCTTGTAAATGAGACTGATTTTGTTCTACTTTGTTTATGTCCTCTGCTAGAGTAGTAAGTTTACCCTCATATTCCACAGTCAGGGAATTAGCTTTCTGGATGATGAGTGCCATTAAATCCTTAGAACATTTGTTCAAAATCAAATTCCAATTATTAACAAATTCAATATCTTCTAAGAACATTCCCGGAGGTTTGTACACTCGGAGGCCCCTGGGTATCATGTTATTCTTAATATAATCAGCTAGAGTAGACGCGTGTAAGTCCAATCGGATCAATTTTTTCTTAATCTTTTCGTATTCCATTAAAGTGTTTGGGGGTTGTGCGGACTGAGCTAGGGATTGGTCATCTAGAATAGATCTGTTCTTAATTAAATCAGAAATGAATGTGTCATCAAAACTTAAGGTACCCCGGCCGTCAGCCATAATAATGGCCAATAAGCAAACAATGCACAAGTATCTCAAATGACATAGAACAAAAATGTATGTATGTAAATCTTGACAGACTCTCAAGAAAGTAATATATAACAGTATTCTATGTTCTCTATTGGCATAACTTGTCTGAGGCTTTATAGCATTAAACAAAAATGTTATCAGCACATTAACATAGAGAAATCAACAACAGACTAAAGGTAATAAAGTCCATCCTTTCAGTGAAGGAATTCCAGAGTCTCTATCTTTATCTTCAAAAATTCTTCTTTTGGCAAGACAGTCTCAAGGAATTCTTCTTGGGCAACAAGGTCTACCATTAAAAGACTAGCAAACATGCCACAATATATTTGGAAACCAGCTGATAAGGGAGGGGCAGTGGTACTACTGAATAGAATTGACTATGTTAAGGAAGTGGAAAGACATCTCTCTAATAACATGTTCTATAAA